AGGTAGGTAGATAGATAGATAGATAGATAGATAGATAGATAGATAGATAGATAGATAGATAGATAGATAAATATGTATGCTAAGTTCTACCAAAACTACAAGTACATTTTTTAGAAATTTTACGGAAGTCATTCAGAGTGTACTGGCCAGATACGGCATGTGCTTCACCTCTGTCTGGGCACCAGCTCCGCTCATCGTTCACGTGCCTTCCCCTGTGAGATGTTGAACTGAAGTGAAATTTTACTTGGAGAGCTTTGAATTATTAAGTTTCTCACTTAAAATTGGTATTTTATGGTCTTCTTTCATTTATTTTTTAATTTAAAATTATTTTTGGTTACAAACATTTAGTATTTATGTAGTTTTGAAAAATTAGTATTAAATCTAAAATTGAATAGAAAGTATACCACCTTTTAAACATTTTTGTAAAATGGAAGAAGAGAATTATTAGCATTAAAAAAGTTGTGATGTATATAAATGGTAATGGAACAAACATCTTACATTTATTATAAATATCTAGGATTTTACTAAAAATAGCTTAACAGAATTGGTCTTCAGAAGGTTTTTTTAATTTTTTACTTAGAGGATTTGTTGTGCTTATGTAAAAAAAACAAAACAAAACTGTCTTTTAAGATGCTATCTGTTCAGTGTTTCATTTTCAAATTGTGCTCTCTGGTTCATCATTATAAGTGGGTCCTCAGGGTCTTTATCCTCTTGAACGTGTTGAGATGAACATGAAGTTGGCAGATACATCGGTCTGGTCTGTTAGAGTGTCAGGCCGATGATTTTCAGTGAAGGGTTGAAGTTCTCCAGGAGTGGCAGTAACTGTTTTACTGTGGTGATAACATTGGAATTACCTTCTTTTCCTTAGCTAAGGTTTTCTTACCAGTTTGTTCCTTCTCTATTTTGCTTCTCTATCCTTTTTCCCTAATTTAAAATCCAAGACAAAGGAAAAATGAGTGACTATATATGAAACCCAGAGCTAAGAAAATAAAAAGTATGTGTTCATTTATGGCAGGGATCAACAAACTATGGCCTGTGGGCCAATCTGTCCCATTACTGGGTTTTGTTAGTTGTTTTATTGGAGCACATGCACACGTATAGCCTGTGGCTGGTTTCATACTACAGCAGCAAAAATGGATAGTTGAAATGAAAGCCATATGGCCAGCAAAGCTTAAAAAATTTACTCTGTGGCTCCTTACAGAAAAAGTTTGCTGATCCCTGAATTAGGGGAGCAAAGAGGGTAAAACTGAATTTGATGTGTGGATTTTAATTGTCACTTAAGTTTTTTTCCCCCCCCTTATTTTCTATGTAGTGAGGCAAATCTACTCAGTGTAGATGAAGATGAGGATTCTGAGACCTCAAAAGGAAAAAAGGCAAGTGTTGCTTTATTAATTAAAAAAAAAAATTTAGGTTATGTAGCAAAAACTCAAAAGATTTTTATGCAAGTCCCAGCCACCCATTCCTCTACTCCAGAGACAAAAATGGCATTCCCAGTTTCTTGTTTAACCCATCAGAGGTATTTTATACATTACAAAGAAAATGTGTATTTTTGCCCCACCCCTTATACTTAACACAGTTGGTAGCATACACTGTAATACATGCTTTTCCTACTCTTATTTTTTTTCACTTAATATACGAGTGCATAGTATTCCATTGTATGCTGTACCATAAATATCCAGTGCCACCCGATTGAAGGATATTCATGGTGTATTGATATTTTCTTTTTCTCATAAATAATGTTAAATCAGTTAGCCTTCTGTGTGGGTTATTTTGCACACATGCAGGCTTACTATTTGTAGGATGGATTCCTAGAAATAAATCTGCTGTATCAGTACAGGTACATTTCTAGTTGTTTTATACCTGACACTTTTACCAGCAATGTCTGAGTGTGCCTGTTTCCCCAAACTTGTGTCACAGTGTTATCAACCTTTTGATCTTTACCAGTAAAAAATAAAATAATATCTCAATGTAGTTTAATTTGCATATCTTTTATTATGAGTGTGGTTACACCTTTTCACATGTGGTCATTTACTTTTGATAATTGTCTTTTAATATTCTTTGCCCATTTTTCCATTTGTCTTTAGAATATTATTGGTTCACATAATTTCTTTTTGTATTGAGTCTAAGACACATTTTTTCACATTGACACCTCTGAAATCTGTATAGATGCATCTTATAATGATGGCATGATATCATTTAATTTTTGCATGTTAATATATATAATAATGCATCTCACAATGGTTTCTCTAGGTTTGATGAATTAAAGGAGTATTTTGGAGAAACTTACCTGTTGCTGTGACAGTAGTTGCTGATAGTTTAAACCATTTTTTTTTTCACTATTCTTTTGGTGGTTAGTGCCTTGGAGAAAAATGTGTGTTTCTTTTGTTGTCAAATGTATCTTTTTTTTTCTTTTATGGCTTTGAGTTTGGTGGTTTGGTTCCTAATGATAACTTAGTTGCTAATTTGCTTTGTCCCCGTACATAAATGAATTTCACAATACCAATACAAGTGTGAGTACTAGGAAAATGACTTAAAAAGTTTTTGTCCTGTTTGATTGTTGCTGGTGGCAACACCACCAGGTCTGTCCCACTAGGAATGTATATTTAAATTACTGTGTTTTAAAGTCAGGTGAAATTTTTTATTCCTTGTTAGTAATTCCACCAGCTGGATGAGAGTTCAGTTTATTTATTTTTTGACTTTGTATTTTATTTTGAAGAATTGCTTTAAAAAATTATTTGTTGTACAATTATGCAAAAATTTTTACATGACTCCCAAGTCAAATCTACAAACTAATTTTTATTCAGAGAAGTCTAGCTTTTGTCCTGATTCCCCCTATCCCTTTCTCTTTCACCTACAAGGCAACCTGTTTTAAAAACCATACAGCCTAGCCTTTCATACCACCCTTAGGGGAGAAACTGTCTACATTGCTTGGCACCTTGATCTTGTCACTTAACGGTGTAGTCTGAAGATCACTCCACAGCCAGTTTTTAGAGATCTTCATCATCTCTTTTTTTGTTAAATACTACTCTGGTGAATGAATGTACTGTAGATACTCAGTTGATCCCCTGTGGGTGAGCACAGGTTTTTCTCAGTCTTGCTGTTGTAAGGAGTACATTAATAAAGGCTGCTTGTAACTTTAAATATCTTTGCAGTATATTTGTAGCATAGATCCCGAGTATTTCAGTTGCTATTTCAGAGGATAAGTTTACATACATGTAATTTTGTTAGATATTGCCAAGTGACTCATTCATAGTAGTTAGCATTTCCTATTCCTACTAGTAATTTATTTACTAGGAACTGGAGTTCCTTCTTCCCTGTAACCCAGAGTAATATGGTCAAACTTAAGTTTTTGCCAATCTGACATAGCACCTTCTTCACATATTTCCTCTACTTACAGTTGAATAGTATTTTAGGGACTTCTAAATTTACTTTTCCCTCCATATTTGTGGGGTTTTTTTCTTCCACAACATCTCTATTTTTTTAATAATTTAAGGGGATTTATAGAATTTGAAGTTCTTTTCTTAGTATTCTAAAGTTTTTCTTTATAAAGTTGCTCTCACTGAAAAACTTTTGAAGTTTTCCAAGAAAACACTGGAAGTTTTGATTCCTTAGATTGTTACTATTCAGGTGTTCTTTAGGTGAACAGAAAAACAGTGACCTTTTCAAGGAAAAAGGAAATGTGTTTTCCATTACTAACTTCTGTGACATTGGCCTTCAGTTCTTGGGGGTTGTCTGGTGTACAGATGCCCTTGGCTTTTTATAAAAACAATGCCTTACTACACATTTTTAAGAATGTTAGTGTTGATATTTTAAAATAAAACTTACACTACACTTACGTGCATTTGGTGGTCTGTGAAGATCTTTCTGATTTGGTGCTCAGTATCGTCTATTTTTAAAATACATGTACTCTTTAACAGAAATTTTATGTTGGGCCTTTTTCTCCTTACGTTCATATTTCTGTTTAATTTTCCCACACATTTTAACTTTGTGTACATATTTTTCATGCACATATTTTAATTTCATATGATACATTTTTATGTGATTGAAATTCTTTTAATTACCTTATTATACTTTACTGTAATAAAAAGATACACATTCACTGAAATTTAACATTAAAAACCATTTCTGTCACTTAGGGTCTAAGCATTAGTTTTATTTTACTGGATTGAGTTATCATTATAATTATTAATAAACATTTAATCCAAAAATAAATTATGGATTTTTATAGTAATTAAGCCTGTTGTGTAGAATTATATTGGGAGTATATTTCTTAAAATGGATGGTGTTGATTTTTCCTTCTTTATTCATTTGGTTCATGTATTCATGAGTCTTATTTATTACTAGAATAAAGTTTTCAGCAGCATTTTGCTTTTAAACTTTTTTTAGATACAAGCGCTGAGAAATCTTGGTCATATAATAAATGGATAGATATGGAAAGAGTTGTAGTCTAGCATTATCATTCAGTTTTTCCTTTTTTATTAACTGCCAAAATTCACATATTAAATATAACATTTAAAAGTTAAAAATAATTTGTAATGTAGTCATTTGAGTCACTGGCTTTCTGAAATTGGGGAGAATATTCTAAAATGGCTTTATCAAGACTTAATTAATGAGTGGCTAGTAATTACGTTTGTTACATTTATTTGTTTATTTTACCAGATACTTTCAGATATAATGGGAAAAATTGAAATATTGTAAATTTCAGGATGCCTTTCTTAATACAATAATTTTAATAAAACATTTTGTATTTTTTTGCATTTATCTATAATCTGTTTTCATTTCAAATATGCATGTTAATTTGCATCTTCATGACAACCATTTCAGTTCAGAATTCTAATGTAGAAAAATATGGCCTTGGTTTCAACAGACTTGTGTTTACCAGGTAAAGGCACAGCAGATTTTGGTCCTTTTTCCTTTAAGCTCATGCTTTCTTTGAGTTGTTCCAACTTGATTTTCTCCTTGGGATAATGCTCTTCTTGTTAACAATTGGAGTAGAAGATACAAAGTTAGTGAATGAAAATTTGCATCGCTTTTGCTTTCCCATTTTTTAGTGTAGTTGAATTAAGAAAATCCTACTGTGGTCCAGAAAACCCAGTGTCTAACCTGTGATTCACCTTTAGCAGAAATATATATAAAACACAGAAAGACATGAAGTCCTACTACTATGTCATGAACCAAGAGGTTCCAGTTATTAATTGCAGCAGGTTTTTAGATTTAATATGTGAAAATTATATCTTTCTTCTGTAAAGTGGAAAATGTCTGTTGTGAAAGGGGAGATGGGAAAGGAGATATTTAGGATGCTTTTCCTACATATGAGTTTTAAAGTAAATCAGTTTTAAGAAATTGTGAAAATGTATATTGAGGATTTAGGAGTTGATTTCCTTAAAACTATCCATGCCTGTTTGTCCTTTAGAAAGTCTTTTTGTATCCCAGAGGTTTACATATCCCTGGCTTTTTAATGGCTTGTGAATAATAAATAAGTCCATATGGATCATTATTTTAAACTAATGTAGCCCCTTTTCTCCATTTGAAAATGAGCGTGGAATTAAGAGAAAAAGCCTTTGTGTTGGTTCAGGGTGTCTTAGTATTCTTTCCCCTTGTGATTCACAGAATGATCTCTGCCTTTGGGTTTCAACAGTTTCATTGTGCCTCTTTAGATAAGATGCATGTCTTTCATTAATTCTGAAAGGATTTTAGTCATTATCTCTGTTAATATTGCCTCTCCACATTCTTCCTGTACTTTTATTAAACATAATAATACCATTGTTTTTTTAATATCTCTTAACCTGCATTTTATATATAAAAGGAAAACAAAAGAAAAAAAGGATAGAGGGCAAAGAGAGAAATCATCTGTGTATCATATTTTAAGTAATGTCCTCAGCTTTGTCTTCCAATTCACTAACTTTTATCTTCAGCTGTATTTAGTCTGCTATTTTATCCATCCATTTCTTAAAAATTTCAGTGACCTTTAACAGTTGTAGAACTTCTGTTGGTTCTCTTTTGAATTTTGTTTTTTTTCCATAGCAACTATAGTTTTTTCTTTAAAAACTAGTTTCCATTTTGTTTTTAAGAGTTTAAATGCCTTTAGCATACAGTTTCAATATCTCTTAATTGTTGAGTAGATTTTTAAAGTTATTTTATTAGCTGAAGTTCTTAGGTGCTAAATTTCCTGAATACTTGCTTTTTAATTAACTGATGTGTCTTCCGTTTGTATGGAAGATACCACATGTTACTAATTTTTGTACATCTAACAGTCCCAATGAAATATTCATTCATGTAGCAAATACATATTAAGCACAGTGTTCTAGATGTGGGAGAGGAAAACAAACTAGTGTCTTGTTCCTATGCAGTTTAATTTCTAGTAACTGTCAGTTGATAATTAATTGAAACAAACACAGCTTTTTTGATTATGTGGTATATTATAAAGTAGTTTTAATCAGGCAGAATATCAGATTTTCGGCCTGCAATAAATATCCAGTTCATAGGATGGCTTGGAGAATTATGTAATCCATACAGAGCAAGTTTGATGTAGAGTACCAAGTTAAAAGCACAAAGAAAATGAAGGAAAATAACAGTTATCAATTAGGCAGAGAGAAGTAGATGTGCCAGGCATCTAAAATAATTTATGTGTTGTACTTAATGCAACAGTTATCTCTTAATTTTCTGGCAGCTGGAATTGCGTGCTGTAGGTTTATAATTGTGTGCTAAAATCTTACAAATTTACATACTATGCTCCTCCTGTAGTGTGAGTGTCTACCTCCTGCCTCCATCCCCCATGACCCACAGCTAAGTTCTAAGTGTAACAGATTGTAAGGAACCTTTTCAAAGACAATTTGACAATATCATAAATATTTTTCATGAGATACAGTTATCTGACAAAGGTAGAAGTACTGGGTGTTTTTTTGCTGACTAAAATATATATAACTTTTGATAGTAACCTATAGGCAACAGAATAGAGAAATTTAAGAATTTGGCATATGCAGACCCTCTCGCTTCATGATGAGCTCCATGTTCTCTATCATGCCCAAATGCCTTCTGAAAAAATTTTTTGAAAATGTGTAAGCACTTAATCATAAATATTGTTGAATTGGCTGAGTTACATGCCTGTGTATCCAGTGAGATAATTTTGGCTTGACCCAATTCTTAAGAGGAAGAATTAGCTTTTTACATTTAGATGAAGAAATATTTAATACAGTTCCTTTGATTTTGAGGTATTCTGCATCCTAATGATTTTGAGTCTTTTTTTTGGAATAACATTGTTTTTTGCTTCTTGTTAATAATCAGTAGTTCTGTTTCTACAAGAATTAAAAAATTCCTCATGCAGTGTAGAAGCTTTAGAGTCAGACCAACTTTTGTTCAAATCCATTTGACTAGTTTGGACAAGTTACCTTGCTTTTTTAAGCTCAGTGATCTTTATAACATAGGGATAGGGTTTCAATAAAATTTAAATAACATAATGGTTGGAGAGATTTTGTTGAGGAAGGAGAACTGCAGTGGGAATTGGAATGGATTGATTCTGTCACTCCTCAGCATCAAGTAACTGACCTGATGTTTTAGGTGTGACTGTGGACTCCCAATCTGAAGAGCTACTGAAATGCATAAAAATGAAGATTAAGTGAAATATTAACTCTAACGTACTTAGCATAATGCCTGTTCATACTAAGCACTCAATAAATACTAGTTGTTGTGATTACCTGTATAGAAAGGGATGAAATTATATGACCATCTTTCATGGAAACTTTTTGATTCTGAGATTCTTAACAGGGTATATATCAAAATCACCTTAGAGCGGTGGCTTTCCAGTGTTTATTTACAGAAGAATCACTTGGAAGGTTTGATGAAACAGATTGCTAGACCCCTTCCCAGAGTTTCTGACTGAGGAGCTCTGAAGTAGGACCTGGTAATTGGCATTCTAAGGTGTTCCCCAAAGGATGCTGCTGCTCCTGGTCTAGAGCCACACTTTGAGAACATTGACTTGGGGCATTTTTTAAAAAATAGCATGGGAATAGGCTGAGGTCACAGTGAGCATCTGGATGCTGGATAAGCCTAATTTTTCTCAGCTGAATTCAACTTAATGACCAATTGTTGATGATAAAATAATTTCTGGGCTTTCTAATTGGAGATAATCTGTTTTTCTAGCTGAGTGGGCACTAATAGTTACTGAATTCCTGGGGTAGGCATTTTTGTTTATCTTTGTTAATACAAGTGAAAATAACCCCATGATTACAAGGAAAGTTACTTGGCTAAAAAGCCAATACAAATTGTTTAGTTTGATTCCTAAATTGTTATCTTTCCACAATCATACTATGCTTTCTGTGAAAAAGGGTTGCCAAATACTAACAGAAATTATGAAAGAGTCTATTGGCCCCATTATGTTTATTCCTATAGTTCTGTTACCAGTTGTTGCTCTTGGTTTTGAGCACATTATTTCATTTCTTCATGAGTCTGCTTATGAATGGTAGATACTGCATATGAAAAATCAGAGATAATTTGAGGCCTAAGATGATATTATCATCCTCTTAAGGGTATATGTCTACTTCTGGCTAGTGATTAGGAGTATTAGCAACCTCAGATCGCCTTCATTCAATGGTTCGCCGGATGTGACCCCAATCTGCAGTATCAACATCCCTGAGGACTTGCTAGAAATGCAAATTCTCAGGCCCACCCCAGACCTCCTGAATCAGAATAAACTGTAACGATCAGACACAGCAATTTGTTTTAATAAACCGTCCAGTTAATTCTGATTTACTCCAAAATTTGAGACCTTAATTGAACTGGAGATTGAGATGATTGGAAAAGCTAGATTTCAGTCTCTGTGAGGGCTATTATAGTTCTGATTTGCCCTTATTCATAGGCTATAATCCTAATCAAATTTTGAGTATTTTCAAGGCTCTTCAAACTTAGTGGATATTCAACTCCACTTTTTTTCTCCCTAGTTACTTCTGAGTCTGTTGGAAGTTCAGTTCACCTTCTCTCCTCTCAACTACATCTTCTGGAAGCAACAGATGCCCCAGGGAAAATACACATCTGGGCTTAGATCTCTGAGTATCTTGTCCCTGATACTAATTTCCACTGCCTCAGTATCGGTAGCCCTTAGATTTTTTTTTTTTTTTTGTATTTTACACACCTTTTCTAGTTATTTCCAGAGAGTAGAGGGATGGTGTGGGTAAAATTGTAACATTTTCAGATTATCTCGCGTGGCTTTGGTTCATTTGCATATCTTTGGGGGTGGAGAGTTCATCTTCGCGTCACAGGGTAATTACCTGGGCAACCGAGTGCGTGTCGAGCCTAACCGTCTAAGGGGCGGAGCTGGCTTGCTTGCTTGCTTCGTCCAGAGGAGCAGAGAGAGACGGTGGCGGACTGCCGTTTATAAGCAATAAACGGCTTTTAAGCTTTATTCCTCCCTTTGATTTCAATTTTTAGAGGTTTTTTGCCACGGGATTTCCTCTCCCTGGACTTACAGATGGGAAAATTGATCTTTATTACTAATCTGTCATTACCAAAAGTGGACATGTCTGAAATACACGACTGTTAAAGATTACTAACTAATGTCTCCAGGAGGAGGAACTGATAAGCAGCTTATCAAAAACAGGCCTTAGAATTTTGAAATACAGATAGGCGGAAAAACAAGAATGGTACAGAACTCTGTCCTCAGGAGGAATTTCTTTGTGGGAGGTATTTTTTTAAGAAACTGTTAGGTTTCAGTGGAGATCATGTTTGGGGGTGGGGAAGCCAAGTCGCTATCTTCTTATGCCCATATTCTCTTGAGAGAGTAAAACAGAAAATAAAAGTTTGGTTATTGTTTCAAAAATAGAATTAGATAAGGATGAATTTTTGGATGTTTTGGGTAATTGGTCACTAAGAACTTAGGACCTTTGTCCTAATGAGTCTGAAAGCAGCTTTTAAATGTCTTGTTCTTAATGAATGTAGTGAGTGGGTTTCCTTGTTGAGAACTTCCCAAGGAATGGGCCATTCCATTGCCATAGTGCTTGATATTGATACACAGACGTTACCCATGTGTGACTGTGAAAGTATGAAGACATTAGATTTCTGGCTTGTGTGTAAGTTTTTTATGCCACTGAAAGGACAGCTTTCTGCTGTATTTGGCTATACTGTACTGTTGATAGCGGTGCCTATTAAGCAAGGGAATGTTTATCTTTCAGGAAAGAGCTATCCTAAGACCTACTACCCTCATCCCTTCTGTTTTTCTCTAAAATTTTCTCAAAAATATCTTTGGAGATAGAAAAGAAAGTAATATCAACATCAGTGTTCCTACAAATATTTGTGTTTTCCTTAGGAAAAGAAGGCCTTCGGTGGAATCACTCTCAGACCCTTGCCAGTGCCCTCCCTCCCCTCCATCCCCAGTAGCTGATACATTTTTACTACTGTTTAGTATGTGGGTTTTCAGATAAGTCTTCATATTGTGGCATTGACTGACTCTAACATTTATGGATCTTTTCACAGTTAAATCGTCAGTCTGACATTGTTCCTACTAGTTCTGGTGATCCCTGGAAGACATGTGCAAGACGAAACAAGACTGAGAGTTTAAAGCCTTTGAAAGGCAACCCAACTGGACTTAACATGTTAAGCAACAGTAAGAAATTGAGGTATAGGCGCTCGACCACACACTCGACAGAAAAGATAAAGGGTTCAATACCCCAGACTAGCTGCCTTTGTGGCCGGTTGGCCCGACCTGCGCCTTTGCTTTTCACTGTTCGCAGGGCCGGGAGGTGGAGCGGCCCCAGGGCGCGGGTTCCCTGACTCCCGAGGGTGGAGTCGCAGCAGTGATTTTGTTACTTCCCAAGAATGTCCGCAGGCTAGGGTTTCTTACAATGAACTTACTTGGGTGCATGTAGTGAGGTCTTGGGCGTCCTTAAAGATCTCTATCTAGTACGTGAAGTACTAGAGGGCTGTGTGCTGGAGGTGTGGGGTGCCTTCCTCGGGGGGTGCTTACCAGGATTATCTCGGTGAGGGACTTCTCAGAGTGAGCCACTGTTACTGATATTGGGCTGTTAAATCTCTCAGAAATAGGATTGGAAATGATTTCATTTCTATTTTGTCAATTTATAGATAACGAGGTATAGCGAAAACAAGGTCACTTTTTCGAGTCATTGGCAGAACCAGTAGAATTTAGGACCTTTGTTTTTTTTTTAACAATAACGTATTTTATATTTATTTTGGCATACAAGAAAACTGTAATACTCATAGTTTAAAACCTTTCTTATAGATAGTCCTAAGTAGAGAATAAGGAGAGAAAACATATCCAAATATATAGAGGAAGTCTTATTTGTAAAATATTCATTTAGAATTCTTTATTTATATTCTAGTGTCCTCTCTATTTTCTTTCATGAACTGTATCGGAAACATTTCAGACACAAATGGCACAATGTGGGTAACTCCTGGTGGGCAGAGTAACAAGGCCAATGGCTTAATCCATAAACGTATCTTTGAAGTAAAGGTTTTTTATACATGTGCTTGTGTTTTAAAAGATTTATTTGGCATATGTGTATGTAATTTTCTTCTGTTCAGATCATTCTTGTTTCTTGCATCTGCAGTGAGAACAGACAAAATGCGCCATTATGTTCGGGAACTGTGGTTCATGGCAGACGTTTTCATCATGCTAATGCTCAGATACCAATAGTAAGAACTGCAGCCCAAAGGTAAGGATTCCAGTTACCTTTGTTCAGTGTATACAAACCATCCTTGTTAATAGGAGTATTTGACTGTTTCTTTTTATTTGTGGAAGTTTATTGTGTCTCCATTATAAAGAGAGATTCATGTCTCTGAAATAATTCATGTCCAAGAATTTTATTCTTATATCTGCTTGTGAATGAATACATTCTGCAAGTAGAGACTTTTTAAGTAAAATTCATGCTATTTTTATTATATCCTGGTTAAATTAGGCTGATATTTTACAACATTGGATAGAGAAGTGTGAGTAAAACTACAGTTACTACCTTTATAAGGTTTATAGTATTTCATATTTTCAAAATAAATCACATCACTTTGAAACGCTTGAGAAAATATTGCTTTATTAGATTTGGATGTTCTCATTGATATGAAGCTACTACTTGAACCTTAGAATTTAAGCTGAATTTCCATTTTGGTCAGTGTCAGTTGACTAAGAAATTCTTAAGCTCCAACAATTACATAAATAATAATAATTATTTCTTACAAATAGTTGCATAAAACTTTTTGTATCTAGTAAGATTAGAAAATTTGGTATATACGCTAGATGCTGTTCTTCATTTTTTTAAAAATGGCAATCTCCGGTGCTGCTCATTCATAAAATGTGCCCTAACTCTTAAAAACCCTTGCTGTATTTGCTGTTTACATAGATTTGCTATCGTGTAGATTTTTTACTTTAAAATCTTAAATCTTTCTTATACTTTAGGATAGGAAAACCTTTCTTTTGCTTAAACATACTATTTTATCATAGTTTTCTCATAAGATATTTGAGAAATACAACTAAAAAGGGAAATAAATTACTGCATATACCAAAAAATAGGGCTGCCTTTCTGTAAAATACAGAAGCAGTCAGGCTCTCTGGCCTGCATGCGGGACAAATATGAGAATAAATAATAAAAGAGTTAATTGGGTCGGGGGACACGCACTGTTTCTCACACACTGCTCGCAGTTATAGAATCCATTGTTGGTATAGATGTCTTGTTGATACTCTAAAAACGTGGTCCAAGTTGAAATACTAATTTATGACTTGCAATCAAGTGATATATTCTACAACTAAAATTATTATTGCCTTTGAAGTTATTTAGTAGTTTGGAATTGTTTGCACTGTGACCTGTTCTTCCCATCCCTCCTTTTCTCATTGGTAATGTTAAAAACTGATTCCAGTCTGGAAATTGGTTTTTGTTTTATTTTATCCTAGTTCTCAGCACATATAATACATGCATGTGTATCATTGCTCATCTGCTTAAAAGATTAGATTCTGTTAATAGGAAGTGATAATTAATAGTAAAATATTGTTTCTTTTTTTAAAAAAACCTAAATTAATTTGCATGTAAGGGAACAATGCTGTGTGAAAATACTTGATAAGAACAACTAAGGCAGGAAGAAACCCATGAAGAATCATGTCAGCAGGACAGATTCTGCAGATGCTTGTCTCTTATTTATAGAATAAACATTTCTTTTTCCTACTACAGTGTGACTATCTTTAAAAAGATGGCAGTTTTCTTCCTTCATACACAGTGAGTGATCTTATACTACAGACCAGGCATAGATGAGGGACAGAGTAGCCAGACATGAATATGGCAGACTCCTGCTGGAAGCTCAAGTTTGATTAGGATAGAGGACAGAAAGACAGGAAAAGAAATGCTTAGGTGGTAAGTGCAGTTAGTAGATGCATGCAGTGTATGTGTAGGACGATTCACAGAGAAGGAAGCAGTGAAAAATTCACCTAGGAGGTACCGAAGCTGTGTACCAGCTGGAAGAGGACACTCCGTGCAGTAGAAATCACACCCGAGGCGTGAAGGGAGATGGTTCTCTGCAGGTGGTTGTGACCAAACATTTTGTTGTATTTAGTGTGGTGTCAGCCCGGTTGTTAGGCCTCAGATGTGGGTGAACTGGCTTTTACAGTTTCTCCTGGTTTTTTGTTTTCTCAACCTTTAATTTGAAATTGAAAGGAAATGCCACCATTCAGTAATTTATACACTCTTTTCTTCTTGAGGTGTCTTTAAAGTAGATCAGACCTGCATTTTGAATGATTTTTAGTTCTTTAGTGAGATATGACAACAAGCACATCATACCTATAAGGACCATGGGGAACATCTACAAGAGCATATATACATACATATATATATATACACACACACACATATATATGTATATATATGTATAATGATACATATGCCTATGATTCATCAATGGGAAAATGGGCTCCTCAAAGAAGCAAGATCTAATATTAAGGAAAAGCACTACTTTGAAAGAATTTTTGAAGCCCTAAATCAGGTCATGGATGCCAGAATCAGTCTGTCTTTTCTCCTTCCTTTTATTTTTAATTTTAAGAGTGTTAGTATAGTACTGGTTCAAGAATGGAATAATAGTTCCATAAGAATGTAAGTTGATGTTTTTTAGAGTCCAGCATTAGTAATAATAGCTTCCTTCCCAATTTTTAAAAAGCTTTTTTTTTTTAATACGTAAGATTTTCTAGGGCAGGACTTGGTAATAAAAACATTGAGGAATCTTGTCGAAATGCCATGACTTAAAAATTAGATATCATGTCATGATAAATGCATTTATTTGTTTATTTTTATAAATAAATTAATTTTTCTCAAGGATAAGAGAAATGAACATGGGTGTATATATTTTTTTGTTTTGTTTTTTTGTTTTCTTCCTAACTCCCTTGGTTTATTGGAAAGAACCAAACCTGTTTCTTCTACTACTGCTACTCTGTCTTCTACCCATTTTCTTTTCTCTATACAGGTGAGTTTAAAAAACAGTGGTAAACTCTTCTCACTTCTTGAGTACAACAATGCAGAGTTGGAAATGGCTAGGTTACGTCTTCAGGCCTAACCTTCTGTTTTCATTTTACTTTTCCTGGAAATATAACTCCATGAGAAATGAGAAATGAATATGTATGATAAGACTGATTATATTTAAATTTTCGTGTTATATTTTGTTTCACATACTTTAATAGGGTTGTGATAACATTCCCTCATTTTTCTGTTATTTATCCAATGTAAATTTATTTTAAGCAGCTTATCTCATTTTTTAAGAGCAAAGGTATAATTTCAAATACAGTAGTCATGTAGGCTTATAATAATTCCTTTCCTTACTATTGAAAATTTCTCTTAACAATAAGTGTTTCTTTTCAGTGTTATGTAAAACCAAGTTACCGTGTTTCCTTTTTCTTGATTTTCTAGGATTAAGTTGATACTTACTTGTGTACTCCACATGATAGGAATACAAAAGTTAATAATGGGAATTTTGTGAACTATGTTTTGCTTACACTGAGTTCTGAATATTTAGTTTCTTTAACAATAAACAGAAATAACCCTGGGATGTGAATCTTATTCTAAATTTAGGGTTTTAAAATTTTGCTCTTGAGTAATTGGTGTTGGTAGCTTTTTAGATTATCCATGAACTGTGGAAAGGGTGGATCTTTATACACAGGATTTTTTATTAGAGGCCATAATTTTAAATCCCAGGCCTTTCCCATGTCTCAAACCATATACTGTATTTAAGGCTTTTGTGTAAATATTTCAATTTTATAAAAAAATTCTTTCTTAACTCAGAAGCACTTACTCTAATCACATGATTAGAAACACTAAAATTTTTATTAGTTTCAGGATATTGTATTGTTCCCTGAAGACCATTCACATAACTACTTTCTAACATAAATCCTCAAATGTTTGGTTAAATAAAGCTCTTCAAGAATTTTTCATACCTTTGTACATCCTTTGTCTTCCTAAGATATGTTTAGATATAAATTGTTTTCCGTATTGACAAAAACTGAAGAGCAATTTACATATCTGACAAGATTCAAAACATAGTATGTACTACATATATAAAATGTGTTTAAAATAAATTATAGAGTTTTGCCTGTTGACTGCAGTTTACTGAAACTACAATGCTGTATCAAAAATGAGGTCTTGCCTCTTACATTTTTTTTTCTTTTTTATGTTTTAAGCAATCTGGACCAAAAGGAAAGGTAAGCTTAATATTGATGAAATTAGAGCATGGATATAACAGTAAGATATCAGATTATTTATATGCTTTGGAAAGTATCCATTGAATTAGAGTTTATCGTTAGAGCTTGTTACTTATTTTAATAAAACGAACCAGTAATAGTACAGCCTGGTATTTGATTTAATGTGGGTAGTGTTTTCACCATAATTCTCAGTATGCATTTTTCCATGAGTGGTTATTATAAATTCATACTGACTTGTGACCACTTTATTTTTAAAAATAGAGTATTTTAATGCATTAGTAAAGTTGCTTTCATTAAAATCTTGTTACATTTTAGTATTAGTTGTGTTTTTACACTTCAGTAGAGTGAGGGAGGAGGGAATTAGAGCGTCTTAATCTTAAGCTCAGAGTTAAAGCTCTGACCGTCAGATGTATTCCTCTTCTAACCCGAACATTTTAAACAGAATTTTATGATCACTGTTCCCTTTGTAATATCACTAGCAGACACAGAAATGTTAATGTAAATAACATGGAAGTGAGTTTTTTAAGAACACACATTTCTTTAAATAGTGAAATGGTTGTAATTATTCTAAAGCAGATGTCCCTAAGACTTCTCTCAATGTACATATTTAGAATTTTTGTATGTATGCGTATCTCTTTTTTTTTTTTACTTTTGCTTTTTATGAGACCTCCCCACCAAAACAAGTTAGCAGCCCTTTCTTTAAACTCATACGTACTTTTCATATAATCATTGAAGTTCAAAGGAAGGAACATTCTACTTTTTTTTAATTATATAATTTTAAGTCTATGAAATGCATGCATTTATTCCATCTTACTTTATGTAAACCAAGTTTCTGAAATACAAATTTGAATATGATCCTGTTAGCAAAAAGTTTATGCATATTTTATAATTCTTAAATGATTCACAATTACATTTTTATGGATGGATTATATAAGTATTTTACCTACCTATCTCCTTGGACAGAAAAATTATTTTACCATTATGTCTATTTTTCTCTTTGAATAAACCATTATTTCTTGTCAGATACTTACATCTTTTAAATTTTTGACTCATAAGTGACTTTTTTTTGGAAGGCCATTATAGTAAGATGTTTTTAATAAAACTGTAAAGAATATACATTAAATATTCTTCATACTAACACATATGAAACAGACTCTTATACAAATAAACAAATACTTTCCTGTATGCTGTAGTAGATGAAATTATCATTATACTGTTTCAGAATACTATAAAGATCTTAGAGTATTTCTCTCTTTTACAATAGCCTTGGAGGGTTTATAATTGTTTTTTTTCCCAGTGTTTTGACTTCTTACTCATTTTTCTGTAGCAGAAATGTATTAATATATTAATTGGTACTGTATTAATTGATAATCTATTAATTGATACATTCAACAAATATTTCAGTGATTATGTGCCAGGCACTCTTCTATGAGCAGAACAGAACCCCTGTCCTCTTGGGCTTACATTCTTATTAGAATAATACTGTAACGGGAATCAGAAAATGGAACGGTAAGCAAGCAGCAATACCAGTAGGCACATCACTTACTCTAAAACAGGAATAACATTTGCCCAATTTTAAAGGAGATTTTTTGAAGAAAAAGTAAGTTGATTACTTAAAACTGACTTATACACTGTAAATTTGACATTTCTGTAATAGTAATAGTTACCGAAATTCTTTCCATCTTTTATAAGATTACCACCAGGGACTAGATATGAAGCAGCAATTGTTTATAAAATGTCTTATAATGAATACACTTGAGTGCATTATTCAGCAGCTTAGGTACTGTTAGGTGGAACTTGGCCCATTAATCCTTTGGGTCCTTACTTAAAATCATCTTGTGTTCAGCTTTGTCAGAGAAACTGAGAAGAACTTTTGCACCAGTAGATTTTACTTTGTAAATTCTTCTTACATAAGCTTTTCCTCCCATCTTGTGAACACTAAGCCACATCTTTTTTCTAATCTTTGAAGAGTAATAGAAAATTCTTTATCTTTATCTCTTAACACAAGGGTCTGTAAATCTCTGAAATCAATGATTTATTTATAAGAGAAGGTTTATCTAATAAACAAGTTAGGTAGTTGTGGATGATCGCTATTTTCCAAGGTTTTCCCTCCTGCACTGTATGCTGGACACAGTAAGGTGTGGCCTAAGTTTAAAACCAATCTGAAATAAATAATAAATAACAATATTAATACCCAGAGCTTGAAAACTCAAAAAAAAATATTGCTGCCATTTTTCTTTGTTGTGGGTGACTCTCACGGCTTGAATGACTCAAACCCTTTTTGACTCGTGGACGGACGAGTCGTGAGCACGGTGCTGAGTCGTGGCACCAGCGACCAGGAATACTTAATTCAGGATTTGAACTGAGTTTTTCTTCCTCCATAAATAATCTGTTGACACATTTGTTGTAAAAAGTATGTGCATTTTATAGAGAATTTTGAAACAAAATGGTATAAAGGTGAAAAGAATATAATAAAAGAAGTTACATGAACTGTTAGACATTTATGTAAAGGATGTGTTTGAAAAGACAAGTATAATTGGAGATTTTATAATTTTTTTGAAGCTCAAAAAATAGAAAATTACATTATTAGGCTCTTGCTGGATTTCTTTCCCATCTTATTTTGAATATTCACCTGACAGTGTGTCCTACCATTTTTCCCTGTTATTAGGTTGCCTTCTAAAAATGATTTTTAATGATTGAATAATTGAATAGCTTGTCCTGCAGATATACATAGTTTATTTACCCATTAGCCCATTTCAGGTTGTTTTTCACTATTATATGACACACTAATGAACAACTGTGCCTGTATGTTTCTAAATGCATCTCAAGATGAGTCTCTGGGAAAAGTCTGGGCCAGGTCACAAATGTTTTTAATGCTCTTGATAAAGTACTGCAAAATTGTTTTTGCACAGAGGTGGTACCAATTTATAATATGAAAATTGCTGTCTCAAGATCTGAAAATGAAATTATATTTAGATGATACTGTCTTCTTTTGAATTATAGAGTCATCTGAAATCTTAGAAGTAAGAGTTGAGCAAGATGACAGGCTATAAGACTAATAGTATTAATAATTAAATTTACTTCATTTTCACCTCTAATCAATTGGAGTATATATTGGAAAGACAAAAATTTAATTCACAGTAGCAACTAAAATATCTACTAATTAATGATGTGAAAACCGTTTATAATTGTATCTAAAGAACCTAATCTGCATTTTATAGTGTATGTTCCTGGTTGGTTTTTTGATAGCAGTGCTACTTAAAGTAATTTAATGCAGTTTTAGTCAAAATCTTAGGGACTTTGTTATTTTAAGAAACTTGGCCAGTTGATTTTAAAGTTTATTTAGAAGTGTAAATATTCAAGAGGAGCAACAGAGTTACTCTTTTAAAAGAAGAATAAATGGGGAAGAAGAGAATGACTTGTCTTGCTGCACAATAAAATATACTGTGAAGAGAACAGTGATTGACTAATGAAGCACTAGAACGAGAGCAGGAAGTCAGACAGTAAGAGTGGAGTCCAGGCACATCAGTTCCCAACCAAACCGTCCAAACAACAAATACAGGTTTAGGGTGCCTTTCAGATGCGTGAAGTGGACTACTTGTGTATCAGCTGGCGGCTTCATTCCTTTTAAATCACTGTATGACGGCTCTGCATGGCAGCCAGAGGCTCAGTCTTGACATCACCGTCCCTGTACAGGAATGTTTGTACAGTTATTTGACCTGATAAATACACTTCTGGTTGCCTACTGCCTTTCAGTTATACATGTTTACTCACTCCAAGTATTTAGACAAGACCCCTGCACTCCTGTAGTCAACATTTTGATGCACGAAGACTGATAATGAACAAGGGAGACGTGAATGACGAATCCTGGGTGAAAGGTGATTGAATGGGGTGGTAGCGGTAGCTTGGCCCCTTCAGACTGCCTGTCAGAGAAACTCTTCTGCCGAGTAACATTTAAGCGAGGAATAAATGAGGAGTCAGCCATGCTGTGATCACAGAGATGGCTTTTCCGGGCCGGGAGGAGGTGGTGCTAGGTTACCAATGCAGGAAGGAGTTTAGCTGTTCTAAGAACAGAAAGAAGGGCCCCAATGGCTGCAGCTGGAAGCAAAGGGGAAATGTTATCAGGTGAATTTGGTGAGGGTCAGCCAGGACCTAGACCATAAAATAAACTTGTCAGTAGATCTGAAGGGTTTGAATTTTTTAGTAAGTACACTCATTAGAAATTTTCGAGACGTTTTAGGTAAAGAAGTGTCATTACCTGATAAATCTTTGGGATTAAAAAAAAAATCTTTATGATTTATAATTTGGCACAAATTAGACTAAAGGCACTCAAGGCTGAGCTTGCTCCACTTTCAAATAGAGCTGTGCTGTGAAGGAAAATCAGTACTAGCCTGTGGCCCAGTATTCTGAGCTGCCTCAAGCAAAACCTAGGAATCGGGGAGGCAGAAGGGCAGAGGGCAAAGCACTCAAGGCCTTTTGGGGAGAGGGCCCGGAGAGGTAAGGTGGGGAAGTCCAAGGATCTTAAGTCTCTCGTCCCAATAAGGATGCAGTAGAGCGTCTTGCTTGAGAAAATAGTTGGCATTCTTGATAACATGTTAATGGATAAAACTTCACAACTGGAATAGGGTTGAGAGAGGAAGGGTAACTGTTAAGTAGGGGGGGAAACGAATGATTGTGCAATCCAGTACAAATAGGGGGAAAGAGGAAACAATAATAAATGCAACTATAAAAATCAAGCAACTAATGAACTGAAAGGAAAACATGAAATCTCTTAGTTGTAGTTATGATTAGGTTGAGTATATTTTATAAAAAACCTGGTTGGATTAAAGGCAGCTGTATTGTGTTTGCAGAATCAGACAAAACATTTGTAAGAAAAGCAGTGTTTAACAAGAGATGCACACAAACAACAAGCAGAATTATAATAACAAATGAGATAGAATTAAGGATTAGAAGCAATAAATAGGAGGAGGAGCATATTTTTGTAATAGGCACAGTCTGCAAGAGTAGCACCTACATGTGTAAAACTCTCCTAAAATATTTTAAATGCAAAGTTTTTGATTATAGTACAACTGTGGGAAATTTTAATACATCTCTGAAAATTACACTGATTTATGAGTTACACAAGTGTGGAATAATTGATTTTGACTAAAATGAATATATTTGATACATCTTACAGAAATTTTCATCTTTTGAGATCAGTTAGAGCAATAGAAACATTAATAAAAAGACCTATCATTAAAACCAAGCAAAATACAAACATACCCAGCACCCAGATGCTGGTCCCTAACCCCACTCTCTGATGATAGAAAGTGTGAAGAATGGCTGATTGCAGGGGTGGGGTAGGGAGAGCAAAATCAGTGTGAAGCATCTTGTCATGTCAGAAGCCGGGCACATGCTTGGGAACAAAAGGGTACTTGCTTCAACAGTACATACATTAGAGAAGATTTTCATGGCCCCTGTACAAGAGTTATGGACAGACAAGCGGAGTATTCCATATTCTTGTAGATTTTGTTACATACATATTCCTAGAGTAAACTAAAGAATGAGGTCACCTCACAGGGACTCAGGAGCCAGCTGAAAGAGCTTCCAAGGGTGGATCATAACCTAAAGTATAAAATAAATGTTCATGAATCACATTGATGTAAATGATTGAATTAATCTTTTATTTATTGAGCTGCCCTAGGATTTTACAAGCTGTGTAAAATGAATTAGGGGAAATGGGCAGCTGTTAGAGAAGAATTCTGAATAATACGTGTAGATACTCTACTGTTCACGAAGTGGAGCTTATTGCTCCCATCCCTTTTGTGGGCTAGACCGATCACCTTGCTTTCAATTAGGGTGTAATAAAGGGAAACTAGTAACTTAGGAGTGGAGAAACCGCATCACACTACCTTAACCAGATGATCAAGGTTGAGATAAGTTGTGTTGATACTATGTATCCCTGATAACGTCAGGATGAGAAGGGCACTTCACCTCCGTGATCTGTCCCAAGCCCACCACGTAAGTCTGCTCATGAGAAACACACCAGACAGATTCACCCTGAGGGGCATTCTACAGACTAAGTGGGCAGTTATCTTCCCGGGAGCCAGAGTCATGAGAAACAATGTAAGAGTGCAGAACAAAAGAGGAAGCATGATAACCAAGTGTAGTTAGATCCTGGATTGGATTCTGGAACAAAAAAGGGGTGTTTGTGGAATAGCTGATGAAATTCTAATAGTCTGGCATTTAGTGAATAGTAATGTGCTGTTTCTTTTGTGACGTTTGATGGTCATGAAGGTGTTCTAATGAGCATTATAAGGAACTGGGACAGGCTTATTAGGGAACTCTGAATTGTCTTTTCAGCTCTTAGGCAAATCTAAAATAATTCCAAAACTAAGTTTATTTTTTAAAAAAGACTGAGGGCTGAGGCCTATCTAACATTTAATGAGCATGGCAGTCTCATGTTAATTCTGCACAGAAGAAAAAAAAGTTCTTCAGCTATTTTGTACATCTTGTAAAATGTGTCCATTAAGGTGACATTTTCTCTCAAACTTCTACTCAGAACACCCTCAGAAGCAAAAGAATCGTTTTACCTTGTAGATGACAGGTGACATGGACACTTCTCTCCCTTTTTTGAGGTGAGAAAAAATAACCACTGAGGAGTTAAGTCCCACACTTGAATTTCATACCAGTTTGGAGTTTGAAATTTCAGTATGTGTAGAATGATGGAGACCTCAAACCAAGAAATTAATGTAAAATTTGATTTTTGACCACTTAAACCATTTTTTTAAACTAAATTTTAAAGAACACATGATAACTTATGGCTGGAAAATTCTTTTAATTATCAAACTAATGCTACTTTTATCTTGAAATTCAACTTAAGATATGCTTATATTTTGGTAACTTATTCATTATAATGAACTTTTAAATATACAACTTTATTTCTGTGTGTAGGGAAATGTAGCAAATATTGGATACAGACTGGCTATAAGGTGTGGAAATGCTGGCAAGTATGCATAATAGTTTATTAACACTACATTACAGGACGTGATAGGGTCATGGGTGCTACATGATACAGTCACTGTTTGTTCCTCATTAACAGTTCATGGTTCAGTGCACTAGGTCCGACGGCAAAGAGCACAGAGCATTAAAGCAGCATCCTCATCAGCCCCTGCGCATCTGTGATTCGTGGCCTCAGTTGGTTTATGTCCGTCCCTACTGAGTAAACCTGTGCCTATGGCACACCCCAGGAGACCCCAGAGCACCCTAGGATAACTAGTCAAACAGGTGGAAGCTGACAAATCCAACATACCTGTTACGTCTAGATTTTGTGGCCACTCTGTCAATTATTTTCTTAGCTGTTAATCTATAGTAGTTTTAAAGAATATGTACTGTTTGTGTTGTCAGCTGTTTTAAAAATACACACTACCTGGAGTTTTTGGAGTTTACCTTAACAGTGTCATCATATTTAGCTTCAGATTCATTGCCTGTGTTGAATTTTGAAGTTTGTGTCTGTTTCTCTCCAAAGTGTACAGTTATAAAAATTAGAGATTAAAAAACTGATTATTTGATTTAAAGAGATGGTATTATATCCTCTGTAGTGTGAAACTGCATGGAATATAAAAAATGTGTTTAATTTTAAGCTTAATATAGTTAGGAGCTGATAAACCTACCTTTTTTCATAGCACCCACTGGTAGTGCTCCTGTCTTTAAGGCAAATTCTCATCTTCATAATTCATATCCTTATGAATCTTAAAATTTGGACAGTGTAGAAATTGGTGTAGTTTACCATGATTCAGATTCTGGCGTTGTTATTTAGTAGTTGTGTGACAATGGGCAGGTTAATTAACCTCGTTGGCCTCAGCTTCCCCCCGTTTATGAAGTGCTAATAAGCAGCATATACTTTCTAAGGGTCTTGTGAGGATTGACGTAACAATAGATACAAAGCGCTCAGAACAGTACCTGGCACATGACGCTGTTTGCTCGCAGCCGTTACAGGCACTCTGTCTGCTCTCATCTCGTTCTCCTGCCACTTGCATCTGTGCAATTTAGGACTTTGACTAATACAGCGTGACTCTGAAAGCCTTACAGGAAAATGCCTTCAGGATTTTGGTTTAATCAAATATTTCACTTTGTTATTACCATCAATAATGTGAATAAATTTACAAATTATAGAATAAATTCTTATTTTTAATTCCCTGGAGAAATGAAGGGAATGTGTTTTTTAATTTTTTTGTTAATCTGCAGTTACATGAAGAACATAATGTTTACTAGGCTCCCCCCTTCAAGTCCCCCCCACATGCCCCATTACAATCACTGTCCATCAGTGTAGTAAGATGCCGTAAAATCACTACTTGTCTTCTCTGTGTTGCACAGCCCTCCCCGTGTCCCCCCCACACTATACATGCTAATTGTAATGCCCCCTTTCTTTTTCCCCTTCCTTATCCCTCCCTTCCCACCCATCCTCCCCAGTCCCTTTCCCTTTGGTAACTGTTAGTCCATTCTTGGGTTCTGTGAGTCTGCTGCTGTTTTGTTCCTTCAGTTTTCTTTGTTCTTATACTCCACATATGAGTGAAATCATTTGGTACTTGTCTATCTCCGCCTGGCTTATTTCACTGAGCATAATACCCTCTAGCTCCATCCATGTTGTTGCAAACAGTAGGATTTGTTTTCTTCTTATGGCTGAGTAATTGAAGGGAATGTTTTTAGAAGCTTTAATTTAGGGTGGAAAAGTGGCTGTTGAGCTCTACTGCACTTTTTGCAGATCTCCTTTTTAATGCTTTTATGTCACAATTATCTATAGTTTTTGTTTGTTTTTTTTTTTTTTTGCTTTTCCTCAAAGTATATATTTGGACTAAAGTATTTTTAAAATCCTTGTTTAATATGGATTGTGTTCAAAAACCTGAAAATCAATTGTATATGATGTGGGACAATGTAATTTAATATTTTTAAATGTAATTATATCCCCATAATGTAATCATAAGGCTAAAATACTTGTTCTATGATTGCTGACTTTGTGACATGCCATTTTTTGTACTGATTTCAGAATTGTCCTCAAGGTTAGTGTTTTATGCACCATTTATTCCTTTATTCATAGATTTTTTTTTCAACAACTAAAAAACATTCACAGCCAAATTAGGCACATTGAGTATTATTAAGCTGAGTGACTTTTTTACTAAAAAAATATGTTGATAATAAAGTATTATGAGTTTTCTTTAAATGCAGTTTTTATGAACTGATTATGAAGTCAGTTCCAAAAGAAAAGTTTCAAAGTTTTGTGCATTGGGGGAATAAATATGTCACTTCCCAAAGGTGACTGCTTGGAAAGGACAGTAATTTGGATTCATTATTACTAAATATTTATTTGAAAGTCTGCCTGCTGTGGGCTCTGATAGACTGACAGTCAAAATGAACTATGGTCACTGCCCTTAGCAATCTTAGATGTATTAAACTTAGTATGTTTGTGCAATATAGTTTTATTATTTTATAGTACTGCTTTTTATATGGCAAAGAGGCTATTATTTGCTCTTAAAAACTTAAGTATTCCATCAACTTTTTCATTTTGAAAAATGTTTTCTGTTAGAATAAAACTATAAATTTCCTTTTCTAGGAAAGAATACCCACCTCATGTCCAAAAATTTGAAAATAATCCTGTAAGGTTATGTCGGCCCCAAGGTGTGGGTAAGTGTACAGTTTCAGTTGTTGAACCTTTGAAGGGTTTTAAGTAGTTGTATGAAAGGTAGAAATAGATATGATACCAGCTTTAGAAGATCCTCAGGCATAGTAGAAATATGTGGATAATCACTTTTGTAACTGGTTTGGAAATTTATTTAACTGTGACCTGAAATCATCAGAGAATCGTTGCACATTCAGGTGATTACAGTTTGAAATCTTTGATTATATTAGCTTTTTTGTTAAATTCAAGATCCAAATATTAACTGTAGACGGGTTATAGCTTCGAAGTTTTGTTGAATGTGTTACAGTCTTCTGTCATGTAATTTTCTTGATTTAAATGGTTTTGATTCTAAAATTGAGCATGCATTGGGTAACCACTGAATTTAAAAAAGACCATACCTGATACAAGATGTTGGAAAAAAATTGTAAGTAGAAACTTAGATAGGGGAGGGATAAGGGGGAAAAAGGCCTTATGATTAGCAGACATAATGTAGGGGTGGGGGGGCACGGGGAGGGCTGCGCAGCCCAGAGGAGACAAGTAGTGACTCTACAGCATCTTCCTACGCTGATGGGCAGTGACTGTGATGGGGTGGCAGGGGGGACTTGGTGAAGGGGAGAGCCTAGTAACCATAATGTTGCTCATGTCATTGTACATTAATGATACCAAAAGAAAAAAAGGAAGGAAACTTACATTGGCAAATCTTTAAGTTACTGATGCTGATGCAACAATGTAGTAAGGGCACGAACCCCCTGCAGTAGAAAATCCATGGATAAATTCTGACTCCCCTTAAACTAGTAATAGCCTGCCGTATACCAAAGGGGTCATTCAACTTCACATACAAAAAAGGGTAGAAAAGTAGAAAAAAATGGGAGGGTTGCACTTGGCGGGGCCAAGACTCCCAGCCTCCTTCCTCTGAGTTTCCTGCCTGGGACTTGCTTCCCCTGTTGCCCTTAGGTCCTGGAGCTCCTCTCTGGTCCAGACAGCAGTTGGTCGCTCAGTGAGCCAGAGGGCGGCACTAGTAACACCGCAGTTGTGGCTCGATCCCTGGACAGACCACTGCGCACGGTGTTTTTCTTTCTCCATTTCTATTGACCAGTGGAACCTGCTGCCTGATAGCCAGTTACAGGGGCTATATGGATGTTAAAAAAGTTAATGAATAAGTGGATCTAGGTAATTCAAACTTGGGTCATGCAAGGGTCAAATATGATTCATATACACAGGTAATAACTATAAATTTCAGGGGAAGGATATTGGTATATTCAACCTCTAAACTTTGATTGTAGCTTCTTCTATGTTTACTCGGACATAGGAGAAATGCTATAGTAATACTGCAGGTCTTGTTGCTTAAAGATTGCATTGTTTTTAATTAAAATATCATTGATATATAATCTTATGAAGGTCTCACATGAACAGCATTGTGGTTTCAATGTTCACTCATATTATCAAGTCCCCCCCACCGCCACTATTGCAGTCACTGTCTTATCAGCGTAGTAAGATGCTAGAGTCATTACTTGTCTTCTCTGTGCTATGCTGCCTTCCCCGTGTGCCCTACTTATATCGTGATTGCGAATTATAGAGCCCCTTGATCCCCTTCTCCTCCCTCCCCAATCATCATCCCCAACTCCTTTCCCTTTGATAACCACTAGTCCATTCTTGGGTTCTGTGAGTCTCCTGCTGTTTTATTCCTTCAGTTTTTGCTTTATTCTTATACTCCACAGATGAATGAAATCATTTGGTACTTGTCTTTCTCCGCCTGGCTTATTTCACTGAGCATAATACCCTCTAGCTCCATCCATGTTGTTGCTAATGGTAGGATTTGTTTTCTTCTTATGGCTGAATAATATTTCATTGTGTATATGTACCACATCTTCTTTATCCATTCATCTGTGATGGACACTTAGGTTGCTTCCATTTCTTGGCTATTGTAAATAGTGCTGCGATAAACATAGGGGTGCATATGTCCTTTTGAATCTGGAACCTTGTTTTTTTCAGGTGAATTCCTAGGAGTGGAATTCCTGGGCAAATGGTATTTCTATTTTTAGTTTTTTGAAGAACCTCCATATTGCTTTACACAGTGGTTGAACTAATCTACATTCTCACCAGCAGTGTTGGAGGGATCCCCTTTCTCTGCATCCTCACCAGCATTTGTTGTTGTTTGTCTTTTGGATGGTGGCCACCCTAACTGGTGTGAGGTGATATCTCATTGTGGTTTTAATTAGTATTTCTCTGATAATTAGCAATGTGGAGCATCTTTTCATGTGCCTCTTGGCCATCTGAATTTCTTTGGAGAAATGTCTGTTCAGCTCCTCTGCCCATTTTTTAATTGAGTTATTTGTTTTTTGGGTGTTGAAAGGCACATGAGTTCTTTATATATTTTGGATGTTAACCCCTTATTGGATATGTCATTTATGAATATATTCTCCCATAGTGTAGGATGCCTTTTTGTTCAGTTGATGGTGTCTTTTGCTGTAGAGAAGCTCTACAGTGTAATGTGGTACCACTTGTTCAATTTTTATTTTGTTTCCCTTGCCTAATAAGATGTGTCCAGGAAAAAATTGCTCATGCTTATGTTCAAGAGATTTTTGCCTATGTTTTCTTCTAAGAGTTTTATGGTTTCATGACTTACATTCATGTCTTTGATCCATTTTGAGTTTACTTTTGTGTATGGAGTTAGACAATAATCCAGGTTTATTCTCTTGCATGTAGCTTGTCCAGTTTTCCCAACCCCAGTTGTTAAAGACACTATCTTTTCTCCATTGTATATTCATGGCTCCTTTATCGCATATTAACTGACCATATATGCTTGGGTTAATATCTGTACTCTCTAGTCTGTTCCATTGATCTATGGGTCTGTTCTTGTGCCAGTACCAAATTGTTCATTACTATGGTTTTATAGTAGAGCTTGAAGTTAGGAAGCATAATCCCCCTAGCTTTGTTCTTCCTTCTCAGGATTGCTTTGGCTATTCGGGATGTTTTTTTAGTTCCATATGAATTTTATAAGTATTTGTTCTAGTTCTTTGAGGAATGCTCTTGGTATTTTGATAGGGATTGCTTTGAATCCATAGACTGCTTTGGGCAGGATGGCCATTTTGACAATATTAATTCTTCCTATCCATGAGCACGAAATATATTTTCAAGATTGCATTTTATTTTAGTATTTCCTTAATTTTTTTTAAAACATTGAGATTTTAAACCCTAGGATCTGTAGTTACTGGCATAGCACCTGGAATATTTTTCTCCTAAAAAGGAATCAGTCTTTCTGTAGCTCTTAACACCTGAGGTAATTTTCTCTCTTTTCCTTTTTTTCCCTTTATTTTGCATTTAAGCTGCACTTAATATGAATTTTGATAAGTTATAGCCCTGTTACTTATTAGCATTGATAAGCATCTCTCTAGGGTAAAATTAAAGTTGGTAAACAAGTATGATCTTTGGTCAGATCACATTTCCTGTTGCTTTTTTGTTTGTTCCTTGTATATATTTTCTAAACATGTAGAGTAATAACAGTTACATAATCATATAAATTAAGATGTCTCATTCTTTCCCCTACCTTTTCTTTCATTTCTTAAACTTCTTGCTTTCTCACCTGTTCTTTGCATCCTTGTCAAAGAGAATAATAGACAGTATACACAGTCTCTGAATGAACATTTAACTGCATTTGTAGTGTAATTACATTATGATTATAATTTAAATCACCTGATTTAGCACTATTTAACTTATACACAGAAGAAAAATATCCCCTCACCCTTGACCAGTCAGGACCAGTAACCCTTGACCAGTTATTAGCATCTTAATATGTAACATCTCAGACTTTTTTATGCACATATACCCATTTTTTAAAAATGCATTCATACTACTATACTGTTCTTTAACTTGCTTTTCTACTTTTTCATATTATGTGGTTTCTGTAATCCCATTAAAAGATTATGGGATGTCCAAAAGATAAGAAAAAGCAAATGCTGGTGAGGATGCAGAGAAATGGGAACCTTCCTACAGTGTTGGTGGGAATGTAAATTGGTGTAGCCACTGTGGATAGTATGGAGGTTCCTCAAAAAACTAAAAATAGAAATACCGTATGACCTAGTAATTCCATTTCTGAGAATTCACCTGAAGAGAATAAAATCACTAATTTGGAAAGACATATGCACCCACCCCTATGTTTGTTGCAGCATTATTTACAAAAGCTAATATACAGAAGTAACCTAAGAGTCCGTCAATAGATGAATGAATGAAGAAGAGGTGGTACATATACACAGTGGAATATTATTCAGCCATAAAAATAAAAGAAATCCTCCTATTTGCAACAACATGGATTCATCTAGAGGGTATTATGCTCAGTGAAGTAAGCCAGGAGGAGAAAGACAAATACCATATGATTTCACTTATTTGTGGAATATAAAAACAAAGCAAAACAGAATGAACAAAACAGCAGTAGACTCAGACACTGAGAAGGGACTAGTGGTCACTGAGGGGGTAGGTGGGTGGGAAAGGTGAGGGGGATAAAGGGACACAATAATTTGCAATCACAATAGAAGTTGCTCATGAGACAGTAGTACAGCATGGGGAATATAGTCATTGAATCTGTAACATCTTTCTATGTTGATAGATAGTAACTGCACTAGAGGGGGTGAGGATTTAATAATATGGGTAACTGTTGAACCACTGGGTTGTATCTTTGAAACCAAGGTAAGATTGTATATCAGTGATACTTGAATTAAAAAAAAAAGAGAGTGGGATATGAGAGGAAAATCAGCCTGGAAAACTGAATTAAAGGAAGTTTAAAATCAAATGGACGAGGGTGTCTATGGTAGACTTATTTACAGTTTTATGTTCAAGTCTCTGTAATCATTTTTTAATGAATGCATGGTGACCCATTATATTTACCATAATTTAGATTGTTTTCAGTGTTTCAATATTATATATTATAATTAATCCAGCACATTCATTTTATGTATTTTATCTATTTTTTTAGATCAAATCCCTAGAAATAAGATGTTCAGCTAGGGAATCCAGCAGGAAATATCTTAGTCTTGCTATTCCTACTCTACTGGGCGGTCTTGGGTGAACATGTCACACTCTCATCCTTGAAAGAGGCGTTCAGCGGAAGCAAGCTTGTCACACAGGCCCCGCGTCGGGCCCCTCCCTGGAGGGGTGTGGAGGGGGTCTGGCAGCTGTGTCACGGCTTCGCAGCAGCGGCCTCCATGATCAGCTCGTAAAACCGCCACGAGCCCTTTGTTGAGCATTTGTCGTTCCCGGACCAGTCAAGTTTTAAGTCTTTTGCCATTTTATTTTTCTGCCTATAGTTTGAGATTAGCTAATTTTCAGTGGAGTTACCATAATCTTCTCAACTCGTTTTTCTATAGAAGGTAGAATTCTAAAGATATTCTTAATTCTGATGTTAATTTTTTACGCTTACTGTCTTTTTATAGATCTGCTTTCCCACACACTGTCAATCGTTTGCCATACCTGCATGGCACATTGGTTTCAAAAGTTTCTTTTTAGAATTCCTAATTATTGTCATTCTTTGCCATTTGTTTTTCCTTCAGAACCTTGTAGATAACCTTGTTAAGGGTTCAAGATTGGGATCAAGATTGTAAAATAATTTTTCTCTATTAGTAAAAATCTTCAGATTCTCTCAAAACCTGGGTGCACTTGTTTCCCCCTTTGTTAATTATGATAAGAAGTTGAGAAAATATGACACAGACATGATGAGACAGCTGTGGTGGAGAGAATAGGGTGTTTATGTGATCAGGTGTGAAGTGATAATGGTTTTTTAAATGTCAGTCTGCAGGCAAGCTGTGGTGGAGAAGTGATACAGGTACATGTTTGAGCAAAATGATGTGCCAAGATACTATGAGGATTACAAGATTGATGAAATATGTTTATAAGGGAAAGCTCTCCTGTACCAAAAAAGTTTAGTTCGTAAGGCCGAAGAAACTTGGAGGGGGCAAAAATGTTTTAAGACAGTTTTGTAAATTAAATTATGCCAATAATTGGCTGTGTATTCCTGATAACTGTGTATACTTTCTGAATTCCAAATCTTGTCTGCCTACATTTTTATTTAGTGCTGCATTCTAGTTCTTTAATATTCATTTGTGTAGAAACTGATTTTTATATGTAACCAGCCTAAGAAGTGAGGAGGCCCTCCTAGTAGTATTACTACCACATGGAGGCTCTGGGCTGGAGTGGCTTTCTGCAACCTCAGGCATTAGTACTTGGTAGCAGGTTTGGGGAGGCTGAGTCCATATGTTTCCAGATCTGAGTGAATCAGTATTTCTGTGTGGCAAACTTCAGCCATTTTAAGAGGTGACATAGTAACAGCATCCCTTCCACTCATGTAGTTTTGTCTTTTTTTAATATGTTGTATAGTTTTACCTTTTGTAATGTGATTCATGAATCCAGTCAACATTTTCTGAGCCCTTAGATTGTGCTGTTTCTAGCACTGGGAAAACACATGACTAAAGCATGATTTGTGCTCTTTGAGAACAGACCCTGTAACGGGAGGAAGCAGGTCGGTGCACACAGTTACAGTAAAAGCAGGTGGGTGCTGACAGAGTCCGGAGCAGGTGCTGGGGTAGTCCCAGGAGTGCTTGATCATGCCTCGTGTTGGGCAGAGGGAACCTCTTCACAGAGGAAGGCTTGAATTCACTAGATAGGCGGGAACTTTGCTTCAAAGAGAGCAGCACATATGAAGAGGGTGAAAGAGAAAAACCAAACCCTGGAGAGACGTACTTCTGAGGTGGTTGGTTTGCATGGCAGATGGGCATCGACGACCAGTGCTTGCCAAGAGACAGAGTTTAGAATTTTCTCCTTAACTACTAGAATCACTAAACGATTTTAGGTACTGGACAATGGTCACACTTCTGTGTCAGGGAGATCAATTTAGGTCAGAGTAAAACATCTGAAATGTAGTGGCAGTGGGGTTGGAGAGGAAGGAAGGAATTCTGAAGTTATTACTATTAGAATTCCCTTGGATATGAGGAAGGGAATGCAAGGAGAGGTCAGTGATTATTTAGATTTTTAGTTTTGGTGTCCAGGAAAATGAAGGTGGCTGAACTGTGCCAAGGCTGAGTAGGAGAGATCAGTTAGTGGAACTCGGTGATTACACTGACCATTACATAACGTTCTTAACACATTACTGCACATCAAACTTAGAAATACTAGATAATGTTGATTTTTATATGTAGATAATCTTTAGAAAAACCAGAAGAGGACATTTAAGACTGAGAGGTGAAAGTGTCCAGCTAGCCGGGCCGCGTGGGTGTGTGGCCGCAGCCGTGATGTCAGGAGCAGGTTTGGTCTGTGTGCTTAGATCTGTGCTCATGAGGTTGGATTGTGATGATATTGTAAGTTGTCCTGTTTTGGACTTCATTAAGTTGTATATATATATCCTAATTATATGTCTTCAGTGAAAATTTTTAGACTTACGTGGAAAATAATGAGGAATATTGTCTTTTGTGTTTCCTAAACTTAAAAAATCATTAGGTGGGGATAGTTTGCTTTTCCTTTTCAAAACTGTTCTACCCAACATTTGAATTCAAATTTTTCTCATTACTAATCTTAGAAGAATAAGTAATTTAGAAGAAAATGTGTGGGGAAGGCTGGGGGTGACTGCAGGCAGCGCTCTGCCCCTTTGCGGGATGAAACCAGCTGCAGGGGTGTCGGTGCCTTGGTGGGAGGCCCCTGGTGGCCCTGGCCGGCGTGGGCGGGCTCAGCGGGGCGGCGGACGTGGCTGGAGGCTCTGACCTAAGTTCGGGTCATCCTTTATTGCGCATGTTGAAACATTATTTAACCCAAGCATGATGATTTGAATAATACACATTAGCGTTTTTTCATAGCAAAGGTCATGAGGAATTTATAAAATTTAATTTCAATATTTTTGTTTTTTTCTCCTTCCTTTAGATCGTATAGTGAAGAAAACAGAAGAATCTGAATCACACTTGGAGTCTGAAATTAAAAGAAAAGTATCACAAAAACGTCACAGTACAACGTATCAGTGTACTCCATCTCCTCTGTCTACTGCTAAAAAAAAATGTTTGACTGATTTAGAGGTGGGTGGGGAAATTACTTGTTTTTGCTCATCAGTTGGTATGTTTAATATTATTTTTACTAATTAAATATTAGGTGACCTTTTCTTATTGGACTGGATGAGACCTAGAGAAATTACTCAGGCAAACTTGTCTACCTTCATTAGATTGTTTTATTTATTTATTTACTTATTTGGCACACTTTTCAAAGTTTATTGTACACACAAACATAATAAGAACTATAAAGGAGGGCTTCCCTCCCCTTCCTTGTACGCACATTGATTCTTGGTGGTCTTATGTAGATCTGGACTTATTTTTTTTTTTTTTTGGTATCATAAATCTACAATTACATGAGGAACATTATGTTTACTAGGTCCCCCCCTTCATCATGTGCCCCCCACAAGCCCCATTAGTCACTGTCCATCAGCATAGTAAGATGCTGTAGAATCACTACTTGTCTTCTCTGTGTTGCACAGCCCTCCCCATTCCCCACATTATACATGCTGATCATAATGCCTTCTTTCTTTTTCCCTGCCCATATCCCTCCCTTCCCACCCATCCTCCCCAGTCCCTTTCCCTTTGGTAACTGTTAGTCCATTCTTGGGTTCTGTGATTCTGCTGCTGTTTTGTTCCTTCAGTTTTTCTTTGTTCTTATACTCCACAGATGAATGAAATCACTTGGTACTTGTCTTTCTCTGCCCGGCTTATTTCACTGAGTGTAATACCCTCTAGCTCCATCCATATTGTTACAAATGGTAGGATTTGTTTTCTTCTTATGGTTGAATAATATTCCATTGTGTATATGTACCACATCTTCTTTATCCATTCATCTACTGATGGACACTTAGGTTGCTTCCATTTCTTGGCTATTGTAAATAGTACTGCAATAAACATAGGGTTGCATATGTGTTTTTCAAACTGGGCTGCTGCATTCCTAGGGTAAATTTCTAGAAGTGGAATTCCTGGGTCAAATGGTATTTCTATTTTGAGCTTTTTGAGTGCTTTCCACAATGGTGGAACTAGTTTACATTCCCACCAGCAGTGTAGGAGGGTTACCCTTTCTCCACATCCTCGCCAACATTTGTTGTTGTTTGTCTTTTGGATGTTCGCCATCCTAACTGGTGTGAGGTGATATCTCATTGTGGTTTTAATTTGCATTTCTCTGATGATTAGCGACGTGGAGCATTTTTTCATGTGCCTGTTGCCCATCTGAATTTCTTCTTTGGAGAAGTGTCTGTTCAGCTTTGCCCATTTTTTAATTGACTTATTTGCTTTTTGTTTGTTGAGGTGCGTGAGCTCTTTGTATAATTTGGATGTCAACCCCTTATCGGATATGTCATTTATGAATATATCCTCCCATACTCTGGGATGTCTTTTTGTTCTACTGATGGTGTCCTTTGCTGTACAGAAGCTTTTTAGTTTGATATAGTCCCACTTGTTCATTTTTGCTTTTGTTTGCCTTGCCCGGGGAGATATGTTCATGAAGAAGTCACTCATGTTTATGTCCAAGAGATTTTTGCCAATGTTTTCTTCTAAGAGTTTTATGGTTTCATGACTTAGATTCAGGTCTTTGATCCATTTCGAATTTACTTTTGTGTATGGGGTTAAACAATGATCCAGTTTCATTCTCTCACATGCAGCTGTCCAGTTTTGCCAACACCAACTGTTGAAGAGGCTGTCATTTCCCCATTGTATGTCCATGTCTCCTTTATCATTTTTTAATTGACCATATATGTTTGGGTTAATGTCTGGAGTCTCTAATCTGTTCCACTGGTCTGTGGGTCCATTCTTGTGCCAGTACCAAATTGTCTTGATTACTGTGGCTTTGTAGTAGAGCTTGAAGTTGGGGAGCGAGATCCCCCCAACTTTATTCTTCCTTCTCAGGATTGCTTTGGCTATTCGGGATCTTTGGTGGATCCATATGAATTTTTGAACTATTTGTTCCAGTTTGTTGATGAATGCTGTTGGTAATTTGATAGGGATTGCTTTGAATCTGTAGACTGCTTTGGGCAGGTTGGCCATTTTGACAATATTAATTCTTCCTTGCCAAGAGCATGGAGTGAGTTTCCATTTGTTAGTGCCCTCTTTAATTTCTCTTAAGAGTGTCTTGTAGTTTTCAATGTATAGGTCTTTCACTTCCTTGGTTAGGTTTATTCCTAGGTATTTTATTCTTTTTGATTCAATTGTGAATGGAATTGTTTTCCTGATTTCTCTTTCTGTTAGTTCATTGTTAGTGTATAGGAAAGCCACAGATTTCTGTGTGTTTAATTTTGTATCCTGCAACTTTGCTGAATTTCGATATTAGATCTAGTAGTTTTGGAGTGGAGTCTTTAGGGTTTTTTATGTACAATATCATGTCATCTGCAAATAGTGACAGTCTGACTTCTTCTTTACCAATCTGGATTCCTTGTATTTCTTTGTTTTGTCTGATTGCCGTGGCTAGGACCTCCAGTATTATGTTGAATAACAGTGGGGAGAGTGGGCATCCCTGTCTTGTTCCTGGTCTCAGAGGAAAAGCTTTCAGCTTCTCACTGTTCAGTATAATGTTGGCTGTGGGTTTATCATACATGGCCGTTATTATGTTGAGGTACTTGCCCTCTATACCCATTTTGTTGAGAGTTTTTATCATGAATGGATGTTGCATTTTGTCGAATGCTTTTTCAGTGTCTATGGAGATGATCATGTGGTTTTTGCCCTTCTTTTTGTTGATGGTGGTGGATGATGTTGATGGATTTTCAAATGTACCATCCTTGCATCCCTGGGTTGAATCCCACTTGGTCATGGTGTATGATCCTCTTGATGTATTTTTGAATTCGTTTTGCTAATATTTTGTTGAGTATGTTTTCATCTATGTTCATCAGGGATATTGGTCTGTAATTTTCTTTTTTGATAGGTTCTTTGCCTGGTTTTGGTATTAAGGTGATGCTGGCTTCATAGAATGAGTTTAGGAGTATTCCCTCCTCTTCTATTTTTTGGAAAACTTTAAGGAGAATAGGTATTATGTCTTCTTTGTATGTCTGATAAAATTCTTCAGTAAATCCATCTGGCCTGGGGGTTTTGCTCTTGGGTAGTTTTTTGATTACCGCTTCAATTTCGTTGCTGATAATTGGTCTGTTTAGATTTTCTGTTTCTTGGTCATTCTTGTAAGTTTGTATTTTTCTAGGAAGTTGTCCATTTCTTCTAGGTTTTCCAGCTTGTTAGCATATAGGTTTTCATAGTATTCTCTAATAATTCCTTGTATTTCTGTGGGGTCTGTCGTGATTTTTCCTTTCTTTTTTTCTGATTCTGTTGATGTGTGTTGATTCTCTTTTTCTCTTAATAAGTCTGGCTAGAGGCTTACCTATTTTGTTTATTTTCTCAAAGAACCAGCTCTTGGTTTCATTGATTTTTTTCTATTGTTTTATTCTTCTCAATTTTATTTATTTTTTCTCTGATCTTTATTATGTCCCTCCTTCTGCTGACTTTAGGTCTCATTTGTTCTTCTTTTTCCAATTTTGACAATTGTGACATTAGACTATTCATTTGGGTTTGTTCTTCCTTCTTTAAATATGCCTGGATTGCTCTATACTTTCCTCTTAAGGACGCAGCTTTCGCTGCGTCTCACAGAAGTTGGGGCTTTGCGTTGTTGTTGTCATTTATATCCATATATTGCTGGATCTCCATTTTAATTTGGTCGTTGATCCATTGACTATTTAGAAGCATGTTGTTAAGCCTCCATGTGTTTGTGAGCCTTTTTGCTTTCTTGGTACAATTTATTTCTAGTTTTATACCTTTGTGGTCAGAGAAGTTGGTTGGTAGAATTTCATTGTTTTTGAATTTACTGAGCCTCTTTTTGTGGCCTAGTATGTGGCCTATTCTGGAGAATGTTCCATGTGCACTTGAGAAGAATGTGTATCCTTCTGCTTTTGGGTGTAGAGTTCTGTAGATGTCTGTTAGGTCCATCTGTTCTAGTGTGTTGTTCAGTGCCTCTGTGTCCTTAATTATTTTCTGCCCGGTGGATCTGTCCTTTGGAGTGAGTAGTGTGTTGAAGTCTCCTAAAATGAATGCATTGTATTCTATTTCCTCCTTTAGTTCTGTTAGTATTTATTTCACATATGCTGGTGCTCCTGTATTGGGTGCATATATATTTATAATGGTTATATCCTCTTGTTGGACTGAGCCCTTTATCATTATGTAATGTCCTTCTTTACCTCTTGTGACTTTCTTTGATTTGAAGTCTATTTTGTCTGATATTAGTACTGCAACACCAGATGCTTTCTTCTCCCTGTTGTTTGCATGAAATATCTTTTTCCATACCTTGACTTTAGGTCTGTGCATGTTTTTGGGTTTGAGGTGAGTCTCTTGTAAACAGCATATAGATGGGTCTTGCTTTTTCATCCATTCTATTTTTTTGCGTCTTTTGATTGGTGCATTCAGTCCATTTACATTAAGGGTGATTATTGAAAGATATGTACTTACTGTCATTGCAGGCTTTAGGTTCGTGGTTACCAAAGGTTCAAGGTTAGCTTTACTATTTTATTGTCTAATTTAACTCGCTTGTTGGGCTATTATAAACACAGTCTCGTGATTCTTCATTTCTCTCCCTTATTTATCCTCCTCCACTCTTTATATGTTAGGTGTTTTATTCTGTACTTTTTTCTGTTTCCCTTGACTGCTTTTGTGGGTAGTTTATTTTATTTTTTGCCTTTAGTTAATATTTGGTTGTTCTGCTTTCTTTCCTGTGATTTTATTATCTCTGGTGACATCTATTTAGTCTTAGAAATGCTCCCATCTAGAGCAGTCCCTTTAAAATACCCTGTAGAGGTGGTTTGTTGGAGGCAAATTCCCTCAACTTTTGCTTATCTGGAAATTGTTTAATCCCTCCTTCATATTTAAGTGATAATCGTGCTGGATACAGTATTCTTGGTTCAAAGCCCTTCTGTTTCATTGCATTAAATATATCATGCCATTCTCTTCTGGCCTGTAAGGTTTCTCTTGAGAAGTCTGATGATAGCCTGCCTGATGGGTTTTCCTTTGTAAGTGAA